ATCACGAATACCGAATATAAGATTACATTTTACCAACGGTCAACTCCTATCTAAAGTAGCTCCACCAAAGACTAAACAGAACTGCCAGGGCGAATGTGAAACGTGCAAGTTATCTTCTAAACCGAACCTTTGCCTTAAGAAGAATGTAGTTTACAAAATCGAATGTTCAATATGTGGTATTGTTTACATTGGGGAGACCGGGAGAACAATTGGATCACGGATCAAAGAACACTTGACAATGGAAAAGCAGACGGTTTATAAACATTTAGAATCCCAAAAGAAATCAAGGTTACCTACAATAAAGTGGAAGATTTTACATGCTAATATAGTGAACGACGGGGAGAGGAAATACGTCGAAGCATTTGAAATACAAAAACATTCTGGAGACTTGATGAACGGTTGTACTGGTAGAATAATTAGTGTTTGAATTATTTTAATCTATTAACATTGTATAGTATTTTAAACTACGGGCAATAAATCAATTGCATGCATGTTTTGCATGTTTTTATATACATTAGCATACTTATTGTAAATTTAGTATTTTAATTAGTTTTATATAAATACGAGGAAATATTATTGTAAAAACATTCCACTGAAGAAGCCGCGTAATAGGCGAAACGTTTGGAAAATATACTTTGTGTATTTTTATGTCTGAAGAAATCTTATAACCCTCTACATTGAGCGCTCTACAGGATGAGCCATGCCGCTTACGCATTGCGCACGCTCACTGCTTGCAGTTTGAGCGCTCTGGCATGGTTTTGATGTCCCACAATCGTGAGGCATCAAAGGTAACTGTAAATAGCAGTTACTTTCATCCTGCTCATCAGCACTACACTGATGAGGCCCATAAGGCCGTAACGGTACCGTCTGTAGTTAGATATCGCTCTATGGCCTTTAGGTCATATTGAGCGCTCTACAGGATGAGCCATGCCGCTTACGCATTGCGCACGCTCACTGCTTGCAGTTTGAGCGCTCTGGCATGGTTTGATGTCCCACAATCGTGAGGCATCAAAGGTAACTATAAATAAGAGTTACTTTCATCCTGCTCATCAGCACTAGACTGATGAGGCCCATAAGGCCGAAACGGTACCGTCTGTAGTTAGATATCGCTCTATGGCCTTTAGGTCATATTGAGCGCTCTACAGGATGAGCCATGCCGCTTACGCATTCCGCACGCTCACTGCTTGCAGTTTGAGCGCTCTGGCATGGTTTTGATGTCCCACAATCGTGAGGCATCAAAGGTAACTGTAAATAGCAGTTACTTTCATCCTGCTCAGCAGCACTACACTGATGAGGCCCATAAGGCCGAAACGGTACCGTCTGTAGTTATATATATATATATATATATATATATATATATATATATATATATATATATATATATATATATATATATATATATATATATTGAGTCGTGTAATTGTACACTCCGTAATATGTTAAGATGAAAATGTTCTCGAGTGTGTATTATATAATTTCCATACCCAGCGTAAGCAGAAAGATAAAGTCTGCCGCGGCTGGGTATTGAACCCGCGACCTTCGCATTACTAGATCGACGCTCTACCAACTGAGCTACACGGTCAGACGGATTTAAGACTGGAAATTATGAAATATATACTGAAAAAACACTTGCAGAACACTTGCAGAACTAGCATTGTTCGATGCTGAATTAATATAAACGAGTATGTTTATGACATTCAGTATATATTTCATAATTTCCAGTCTTAAATCCGTCTGACCGTGTAGCTCAGTTGGTAGAGCGTCGATCTAGTAATTCGAAGGTCGCGGGTTCAAGACCCAGCCGCGGCAGACTTTATCTTTCTGCTTACGCTGGGTATAGAAATTATATAATACACACTCGAGAACATTTTCATCTTAATATATATATATATATATATATATATATATATATATATATATATATATATATATATATATATATATATATATATATATATATATATATATATATATATATATATATATCAAAATACTGATAAAATCCATTTCCAGCTTGATTGTATTTGCATTGTTGCAGACAAAGTTGTGCAATGGTGGGCTTATGTCACATACTCGTATGTAATTCCATGTGCCTGCATGTACAGTACTTTGATGCCTCAAGAGATGCTTCAAATGTGTAATAAAGGGCTGTTCGCAGGAGTTGGGCTGTCTGGCCTTAAATTGCATTGTTTTTATGATATTTTAAGATTGTATTCATATGGCTGGACCATCTTGCCATTGCCACAATGTCTGATGTTCAAACAGGCTTTAAAATCAGGTTACAATGCATGCTTGAAAATATGCAACAATTTCACTGCTAATAATATTCCAGAAAATCCTGTCTCTTGGGCAGATCTGGACTGATTTGTCAGAGGGGGTTGGAGGTTTTCTACTTGTGATCGGGCAAGGGGAGCTAGCCAAGGGTGCTGGGTCAGAGTCAAACTCATGTGAACAGCTTCTAAGTCCTAATTATATTGATAAATTATGTACACTTTGGGATGGTAATGCAATTTGTAAAATATTCCACATTTTATTTAATAAAATTTAATTATATACATTGTTTTTGTTGTTTATATTAACACCTTGGACAGTGTATTATTTACACCTTTGGACCCTGTAAATAAACACCTTTGGAGGGTGTACCCATTCTAAGCCAAAGACGTTTAAGAACAATTATCAAGGTATTTGCATGATAAAATATATTTAAAACTGCTCTCCATATACATGTAATGCATGGTTCAATTCTTGCTTTTACCAAGTAAACCCAGGGATTTTCAATGTCCCCCTCCTCCCAGAGAATTCACTTGAAGTGACTGGGGCAAGGTAGCTATAAGTATAAATAGGTATATAAAAGTCAATTAAAATTTACAAATAGAGCTTTTTGAATATAGACCATTGCAAATTTTTTTAAATTTGTTTTACCCTTTATAGTGGCAATGTGCCCTACTTTAGTATATTACTCCTCTGGTGCCAGACAATTTTACTCAAGGGCAGAATGTATACTTGCCACAAGTCGACCTCAAACGAAACGTCGGCTCACATTCGCTGCTTGCGTTTCGTTCGAGGTCGACTTGTGGCAAGTCTAGGCAGAATGTTGCCACTCAACGAGTTAATATATTCTCAGAACAGTTACCATCAAATTAAATCTATTTTGCTGGCAAAATTGCCTTGGAGGGGGTCCTTGATTTGTTGAGTCTTTTTTTTTTTGGGGGGGGGTGAGTGTTGTAAAAACAGAATAGCAACTGGTTTCAGAATAGGAAGAATTGTTGTAATATAGGTAATATAATTCTAAGACAAATCATCCAAAGGAAGCAATCATTCTAGCTCTTGTAGTGTATGTTGCAACAGGGATGGATTTACTGGGGGGGAGGGGAGCTGTGCACTCCCCTAGCCCTGGCCAGAGGGGGTGCTATTTTTCATGATAAAGCAAAAAATTATTACAGGCAAAATGAGATACAGTAATTTGAGTAATAACATGATGATAAGCGAGCTGTGAACAACAATTACAATTCAAATACAGTAGTAAAGCAAGACTTTGCAGTAGTGAAGCAAGTTGATGGGCGGGCGGCTCACATGACCGACAAAACTCGGCACCAGAGCTGGCAGAGCACCCCCCTCCCCCCCCTCCACCAGATCATGCTGGATCCATCCCTGTGTTGAAAAATGTATTTTCTTTATAGCCAGGCATTCACATGAATGAAGATTAGAATTGCATCATGTTATATAGTCTTAAATATTTAGGAGGGGTCTCCATTATTAAATTAAGAGATTAAAAAGGGGTACCATGACATTTTGACATAAGAATCTCCCACCCCACCCTAGGGTATAATGAATGGTCACTTAAAGTACATGCCATTTTCTAACTGGTTGGGCACCTTGCCCCTTTTGTTATGGAAAATCTATTCCCTACCTTTATCCCCTGGGACAAAAAATTCAAATCAACTCTCCATCCTGATAATGTGCAGATGGTAACAGCAAGAATTGAAGCAAGCAATTTTTACTGGAGTACATACTATTATTAGGAAACATCAATTCGCACATGCCAATTTGCCACTCATGATTTTAAATTAAATGTAATATTTCTTATCTCATATAGAATTCTTAAGGTCTTGTTTACATTTTACTGGAAGCAAACTAAAATGCATATCCAATATTTGGGTCATATCACTCATATGTCAGTTTTGCAGCTTGTCAGCTTCAACAACATTTGGCTGCAAGGAAAACGTAAACAAGGAAATAGCATATAACACTTCATCTGTGTTTAAAATATCAATGAATATATATTCCAACCATTGGCACTTTATAATATGTGACATTCAACAATAGATCAATAACATATACAGTATATGCAAAAACATTTCTTTGAATCACTGTATAAAATATTTCTCATAAACTCGCTCCAATCGTTGCACAGCAGAGTCTTTGAAAGGGTAAAACCAAGTTTAACATCCCCCGTTCAAAACACTTTCCGTGCCCTCTTAGGCAAGCCTGTCCAGCTGGAGAACATCTGTCGTAATACTATATTTTGGCTCAATTGGTTGTTAATTTTGTTTAGCGAACGAACGATATTTACCAAACCCAGTTGGAAGATATACAACTACATTGTTCCCAGGGTAATAAAAGCTGAAGAATTTAATTTTGAAGACTAATCGCATTTTTAAGCCGCTCTAAGCACTTGAATTTTGTGGACACTCTTAGGTTGGCGGCCATCTTGGATTTTCTAATCGTTATTATTATAATTTATTACACCCAATATATCTGGGTGTTGAAAGTTATGTGACCGGCCGGTGCAAGGGCCTTTTCCCGCCTTCCCAAGGGAAAAGCCCTGGGAACGAGGTTGTATAAATACATGTGGAAATGCTCGCACCCAAAGACGATTGTAAGGGACTCTTTCTCAATATGTTCGTATTTCTGCTCGGTTTCAGCATGGATAATAAAATAAATGGATATGAAACTTCGTATCACGTGGTATGTATCATGCTCTTTGATTGGCTGAAACGATGTTTAGCTCGTTCAGAAATGGCCGCAACCTTGTTGAAAATTGTGATGTAAGTGATGGCGAAATATCACGTAAGTATTGCTTTTCTTTCGCACTTTTGACTGAGATTTTTTAACATTTTCTTTAAATTTTCAGTTGACAACACTCTTTTGTTTATTTTGTATGTTTATGTTGATGGGCAGACACGTAGACATGGCCTAAGCCACAAAGCACTAATCAAGGTAAGATGACACTGTGATTGTTTACATTTAGGTTGATAAACCTTCGAGGAAATTGCGTCACAAAATAGTCCGATTTTAGTGCATTTTGTTAGTTGTTTTTTGATGCATTTTTTGTCGACTTAATTTCATGTAGTGTCTTTCAAATATGTCATAATGTAAAGACAATTGGTCAATTTGTGGCTTTACAACAATTAAAATTAGAAATAAGGTCGTATTTTATTAAAAATTTGCCGAAAATTTGCCCCATTGTATGAGCTTTGCCTGGCAATTTGTTGCTAAGACCCAAATCACCACTAAGGAGTAAACTGAGAAAATGATGTCATTGTGGCACTAGGTTGCTAAATGTAACTAAATTTGTCATCTGGCAACCAGATATGTTGTGAATTGTTGGTTAATTTGAATTTCATCTGTTTTTATGTAGCATTATCACTTTGCATTATGGGCAAGTCTCGAATAGGACGAAGGAGAAAATATTCCCACAGAATATACAAAACGAGCACTACAGATATTATCGACGATGATCAGGGTTTACCATACAAGTTTCAGTTCCACCTACGAAATTTGCCAGCAACAATCTTCACTCACCCATCTATCAACAATTTTATTGAAGTCTTCGAATTATTGGTTAATGTTGACATTTTGGCTGAGAGATGGACCTTGGTTAACCATGATCATCCATTCCTGATGCTTTCCACTTTTTGTGAAAATGGGACATTGCCTCCAAGTGTTGAAAAAACCGTGATTGTCAATGAAGACCTGACATGGAACTGTATAATTAAGAATAAGAATGTGAAGGAGAATGTACATGGAATTTGCAACACTTTAAATAACACAAATGCCTTTGTTATGCTGTTGGATTTTATGGATGCTTGCAAAGTATGCTCTGGCATACAAGACAATAAACTTATTGAATTGTCTAAGTTGAAAAACCGGAATGGAGTGTTTAAAGATCGACAAGGGAATATCAGAGGTGAACTGAAAGATGATGACGTTATCAGACCAGTTGATTGCCGTGGAGTTGTCCCAACAACTGCCAATGGTAATTTGTGTGACTGTTGTAAATCATACCGTAAATGCCTTCTGACAATTTTGCTAAGAGAAAAATGTAAGTTGCTGTGTGAAGTATCTGTGGTGAAAGCAAATACCAAGGTCAACAGTCATTGTCCATGGAAACATCTATCGGAAGAAGAACACAAACAAAGGGTAAATAATTGCAGGCAAGGTAGACAACAACAATTTCGTCAAATTCAACGGCTAAAAAAGAGATTTGAAGATGAATCTATTGAACTTGTACCAGATGACCATACAGTAATGGAAACTCTCTTCACTGACTTGCAGTCACAAAACAAATGTGAAAATAAGAACGACTTTAAATCCTTGTTGCTAGAAGAGCAAGAGAAAGCAATGGAATGCTCCGATAAAAGGGGAAGAAGATGGCACCCTCTAATAATTAGGTGGTGCTTTCAGATGCATGCAACATCCCCAAAAGCATACCAGATGCTAAGGGAAAGTGGTATATTAACTCTACCTCATAGTAGGACATTACATGACTACAGTCATTGCTTTAAGGCTAACATAGGTTTTGATTCTAACTTTTTAGATATAGTTAAGAAAGATTTTTTAGGAAGTTGTAATCC